CGCTTCTTCCTCTTCTTAGATGCTTTGCTTGAATCCTCGGCTTCCGAATCAGATGCCTCTGCTGGTCGCTTGTTTCGTGCAGGTTCCGAAATGCCGTACCAGTCAAAACCTCCCACTGAAAGACCTTTGCTGTTGGCCGGCTTCGTAGCGTCCCCAAGGACGTCGCCCTCTTCCTCGTGGTCTTCAGATTCCTGAGATTCTTCTTCAAGATTTTCATCAGCGTCCTCTGAATGTTCCGAATCCTGTGATCCTGCTTCCTCATCGTCTTCAGAGTCTCCCAGTTCCTGGTCGAGATGCGCGCCACCCTCCTCGGCTTCATCTTCTGACTGCGAATCACTTTCGGCATCTTCTGCCCCATCACCAAAGTACGAAGCTTTCATGCCGAAATTGATGCGACGCTTCGCAGTATCAATCTTCAACACCTTGGCCTTAACCTTGTCTCCTTCATTAAACAGCTTGCCGACATCTTCAACGCGTTGCTCGGCGATCTCGCTGCGGTGGCACAGTCCACGTACGTTCTCGGAATTGTCCACGAGAATGAAAACGCCAAAGGACTCGACTTTGACCACTTTGGCAGTCACAATATCCCCGACCTTCAAGTCGTTGAAAGTAAGGGGGGCTTTGTAGTCAGGTTTCAAGGCCGACTCCTTCAGGCTGATCTGGACGTGCCCCGAATCCTTGTCGACCATAATGACCCGGCCTCTTACAAGCTGGTCGCGCTGGAAGTGATCCTTCCACTCCTTCAAATAGCTGTCCGACAGGTTACTAACCCGAACAAACGCCGTGATGCCATGCCCCAGGGTCACAAAAACACCTTTGTCGGCCACATTGCTAATGAACCCACGGACGATGTCGTTGACAGCGATCTGTTCGATTGAGGTGATCTCTGGGTCAGTAACTGCCAATGACGAGCTGAGGACTTTCGAAGGCCGAGTTGACAGGCTGACTTTCTTGTTGGGTGCATCCACGTTGACCACGCAGACTCGAAGGACATCGTTTTTCTGGTACTTTCCGGGATTCACTTCAACATAGTCATCAGCCATGTCAATCAACTCAACAACACCGACGACCTGGTCACTAAGCTGGACGACGATGTTGTGGTCGGTAGTCTTCGTCACACGGCCAGGAAGCACGAGCCCGATAGAGATATTTGCGAATGTCAGAGAGCTCGCCGTTCCGTCTGAACGTCCGGTCAAGTCCAAATGTCCCTTTTCGGTATCCACATTGAGCACCCGGACTCGCAAGGCAGAGCCTAGAGGGAAGTTGTGTGCTAGATTTGCAGCAAGCGACAGATCGTCGGAGATGTCGATAGCTCGAATTCTCCCACGAATGGTGGGTGAAATATTAACCCAAACACACTCATCGGAGATGTTGTTGATGAAAGCGAGCCATGTTGATCCAACCCTCATATCTTGTAATGTCAATCGGGCCTGCTCTGGGCCTGAGACTGAACTTGGTTTGCAGGTGAGTTCAAAGACAGTGTTCTTCCCTTTCCGATGTGTTAGTGGTAGAAATCTGTGATTTCTTGTATCATGCGCTCCAAGGACTCGCACGGGCAGTTCCTGTTTGGGAGAGAATTGCCTCAGTGGTTTCTTCCGGTCTTTGATGTCCTTCCACTCGTCAAATACTTCCGAAACGTCGATGCGCCCTTGCACGTCTTTAGCCAATTCAACATTTATCTGTGTCTCTTTGACGGAGACGATCTTTGCTTTCGTGAGTTTCCCAACCGAAAGATCTTTGAGGGTTTTAAGACTCTCATCTACGGGATCGACGAGCTTCGGGAAGTCCGCCTGAGCCTCAGCTCCATCCGATATGTTGGACTCAGCTGCGGGGGCCTCTCTCATCGTAAGCCAAAAGCGAGGCGTCGCACCCCTGTAGTCAATAGAGAGGACTTTAGCCGTTATAGGTTGTAATTTGACCATGCCAAAGTCCGGTTGTTCTTCAGCCTCGACAGGCACTTGAGCCTTGGTTATGAGCCCGGTGATTCCAGCACCAAACCCCACGAATACACCATCCTCTGTTATGTTCCTCACAAAACCCGTGACAACCGCATTAGGCTGAAGTTGCTCGTAGCTTCGAAGCAGGGTGCCATTCTGCGCAGCTTGCACCAAACTTTGCTTGTTCGAGATCAAGACCAATCTCCTCTTCGCCAGAACCTGTAATATAAGCACATTTTCTAGCTTCTGCCCTACTCGGATTTTGCTGATTGCAGATTCGCGCTTCTTGAGAGAGCCATCGGCGATGTGATCGAGAGGTAGCCGCGCTATAGCATCGGAACCTTCTAGGCGCAACAAGACGTCGTTCTGAGATTTTTCAAAGACTGTGCCATTTGTTAGAGTGCCAGGTTGCAACGCTGCAAGAGTGCTCTCGATCGACGCGGTTGATGCATTAATATCTCTGCACGATACGGTCAACCGCCTTTCCGAAGCATTGATGCTGATCGCGTTTACTGAAACAACCTGGCCGATGCGAAAATGTTCCGTGGCGTCTTTGATGTACGCTTCACTCATTTCAGACACGGGCAGAAATCCTCTGACTGGGCCATAGAATCTGACAACTGCACCGAGGCGGTCGACCTTAGTCAAGGTTCCAACCGTAGAATCGCCACTCTCAATATCTTCAAAGCGTAGCCACGGTTTTTGATCATTGTTCACTAGAGCTTTCTTGAGGCTGAGTCTCAGACGGCGCCGGGTTGGGTCAATGGACAGAACTCGGGCAGTGACGGCCTGGCCTTCCCTGAATTTCTTCTCTGGGTGCTTCAGATCAACATCGGACATATGGATCTGGGGCACGAGACCAACCAGGCCCTCTCCTAGAGTGACCAACAAGCCTTGAACACCTTTTGGACCGACGATCAGCTTTTCAATCGTGCCTTGGACCACCGCACCAAGCGGAATGTCGTCGAATCTGAGGAATGGCCGTTCAAGCACACTCTTCTGGGCGGATAAGATGTAGAGATTGTCCATGGGGTTGTATTCAAGCACTCGCACCTTGTGTTCAGAGCCAAGTTTGAACGGGCCACTGGTTTCGGACAGAGTGTCGAGCTTCTTGTCAGAGAGACGAGATACGTGGGCAAAGCCTATGTTGTCTTGGTCTAACTGCAGGTAGACGCCCAGTCCAGGCTCAACGCGAATGACTGATGCTCCATCGATGGTGGAAGATAACGCCAGCCTCCCACTGTCCTCGTGGGCTGCCTCGTTCAGATCTCTCAGGTCGACGACATTGTCCAGAAGCGAGAATCCCAGCTTCTTCACATCCGAAAGCGGGAAATTGCAGATGAGTCGACCGGAAATCTTTTTCCCAACCTCGTATTTAGCAAGGAACGCTTGTCGATCCCTAAAGGAGCCTGAATGAACGACATCGGCTGTGGCATCCAACATGCCCATGATTTTCCGGAAATCCCAGCGTCTGTGACGGCGCTGATCAGAATCTCTGCCTTTGTGCCTGGAAGAAAAGTGTCCACGGAGGGAGCAGACTTCAAGATTGGCGCTTTGGTGAGATCTGCTGACAGTTTCACCACTTTGTTGTTGCTGCTCATTTCGAGGACGTGACACAATAGGACAGCGCCGACTTTGATGGTCGACAAAGACCTTCCGTTAGGTAGCTGTTTCTTGGGAATGAACCCACGCACTTTGCCGTCTTCTAGTGCTAGGTCAACCACCAACCCATGGTCTTCGACACTGCTCACAGAGACTTGGACAACAGCACCAGCGACGAGATTTGACTGATCCAAGCCGATATTGGTCAATGCTGGTTCGACCGACATCTCGATGCGCTTTCGCGCTGGGGCTTTGGACCCAACCCTGTCTTGCTCTGTGGAAGTCACCGCAACCCGCAAGTATTGGTGAAGTTGGAAATAACCCGGCAATGCAATGTCTTCCTCCTCATCTCTGTCGCTCTCACTGTCATTGTTCTCTTCATCATCCTGACCCAGAAGACCTTGGATCTTCTCGCTCAATTGCGGCGAGATCGCAGTCAAAGGCACGTAACCCACAAGGTTGTTTGGCAGGGCCACAGTCAGCGCTCTGGGGCTTATGGATGTGATCTGACCCAGTATGAGAGAGCCTGCGGTTATCCGTTTATAGCTCAGACCTCCAATTCGAACCTCTGGGTTTGTACCAGATGCTGAGGACACTGATTGTTTCTTGTCTTTGCGGTGTTTTCTCTCTCGTTTCTTTTCTGGCAATTTTTCTCTGGGTATGTCGTCCTCGTCACTCCCAATATCTGCCCTTGCATTTCGGTCGCTGAACAGATCCTGCGAGGGCTTATGTTCGGTGTCTGCATCTTGGGCTGCCTTTGCTCGAATTTGTTTACGCTCCAGTGGAGTTAGTAGGCTCGCACCACCCCGAGGAAAAGCAGGTTGCTCTTTGGTAAGGATAGAGACAGGCTTCGGTTTTGGAGTCTTGTTCTGTTCCTGTTCCGCAGTAGTCGTTCCACCCTTCGAGGCGGAATTGGACCTTGGCCGTTTATTCGATTGCTTTACCACTGCATCTTCGGGCTTTCGCTTGGCTGAAACCATGGCGATGGAGACTCACCAGTCTCAAGACATCAGCAATAAACGATTCCGCCGTACAGAAGAGGCCGGATTCGCCCTAGAATGTGATCTTTGCCTGCTGGTCGGGCTGTGTGTGATCATGGGGAAATTTTTTTGGAAGGGCAGAACGCAGTCCATGAAGAGATCCGATTCCACCAATCAAATCCTCGCATTCCGTAGTGCGGAGAAATTTTCTCCGACCAACGTCCGGCTGACCTTCCCGCTGTGGATCAATTTAAGACGCGCGCTGGACGTTGCTCGCTACTCGGTACGCGTCGCGAGATCCTCCAGGTCCAAGCCTCCTCATACTTCTTCCCACCTGCCACCCAATAGCTTCCTTTCTTGCTCTCCTCAGTCCGACTTTTCTCTCTGCGTGTTAACTTTATAGAACGGATATGTCCTCCTTGAGCTGAGGGCAGAAGGAACTCGGATATCGTCATTGGACCCTTCACCCAAGCTTCCTTCCATGGACCATACACCCGAAAGGCCGGTTCGGTCAGAGACCGTCACATTTGCAGTTGCACCGAACGAGAACAGGAGTCCCCGTCGAAGTAGTCGTATCAAGAAAAATCCCTCCATCACGCCAAACCGTTTTACCCGATTTTTCACCCCAAGACTCCAGAATGCAAAGCGGGCTGTTCGAACCTCGCGGAAAGCCTTGCGAGAGCTTTCTACCGTTAATCTTAACAGTCGGTTAGGAAGTAACCGGTCCTTGGGAATCCCTGTGGCCGAACACGAGCAACCTCCCTCCAAGAAGCGAAAGCTCTCGTTCACGTCAATATCATCAATCCCGTCCTCGCCAATCAAGATCAACTGTGGGTTTCCCAGCAGCCTGGGCGTAGATGGGGCCGTGATAGATGCCACGGGGGACGAGGATGATGCTCTCTACCTGGGGACGGACGACGACGATGAAGAGGAATTGCCGCCATTGCTGCGATATCCTCCGAGGGTAACTCGATATCAATCCATAAGCACCTCCACAGGGTTACTGTCACGACAACTAGGGAGAAGAAAAGACATCCGTTTTGGTAACGAGAGCAGTCTCTGGCAGCATGAGGCCGCAAAATTCTACAGTCTACCGGGAGACCTCTTTACCAGTCCCTCGTTCGATGTCCAACCTCGAGCACTGCCATTCTGCGTTGCCAGTTTCAACCATCAACAATCTGTTGCCATTGGAAATGAAGATGGTCTAGTCGAAATATACCGAGCCTGGGAACGGTCTCCCGAAAATTCCGGAGACTTGCAGCTTCAGTCCTGCATGTACCCTCACGACAATGCTATAATGGACATGGAATTTTCGCAAGATGATCGACTTCTTGCAACAGCGTCGGGAGACCAGACCTGTCGAATAATCGATGTGAACGCACAAACCTCTACTCACACACTGATCGGCCATATGGGATCCATAAAACGCGTGCAATGGCAGCCAGGCTCTGGGAGCCAAGTCCTTGCAACCTGCTCCCGAGACGGCAGTGTCTGTCTGTGGGATCTTCGGTGTGCCCAACCTGCAGAAACACTAGATATCATCCCTCTACAACGCGCGCCTGACTTTCTTACCAACAGCCAACGGGTCAACAGTAAAGTCGAGATACGCGATGCACACACTTCTTGGGACAAGCTCAAACTTGTGAGTGGCAAGCGCCAAGTTGCTGGACTGTCCTCCAGGGTTGACTTTGCGGTCACCACCTGTGCATTCATCAGCGACACTCGTCCACATTTGCTTGCGACGGCTTCGGAGCACAACGCCATTATAAAGCTATGGGACATGCGCGCATCATATAAACAACGGTCTGGCAGACCTACGCCAGTATCCGCGACTCTTGAGCCTGAGAGCCATGAGACACTTCGGCCGTTTGGTGTGACTTCCATGACGATGAACACTGACGGCTCCAGGCTGTATACTCTCTGTCGGGACAATACCATCTATGCTTATTCAACTGCTCATCTCGTACTTGGTGGATGCCCGGAGATGTCACTGACATCGAGGCCCTCACAGCGAGCTGCTCGCACCTCAGGACAAGGACTAGGTCCTTTGTACGGCTTTCGCGATCCCTCCCTGCGCTTGGGCTCTTTCTACGACAAACTCGCCCTCCGTCGTAAGACAAACGAGAATACCGAGCTCTTGGCAGCCGGTTCAGGCGAGGACTGTGCGGTGATTTTCCCCACTGACGAACGTTACCTGACCAAATCTGCACGTCGTTGCCCCCCAGCTCCCGCTCACCACAACACCTTGTCGCGCTTTACACGACCTCGCCTGCCTCAACGAACCTCATCCGTCAATGTGCTTTCCAATTCCTTATTGGCGTCAGCTTCCTTGCACGACGTCAGCACCGAAGGCCAATGCCCCATATACTACACGGGCACGCCGCTCATCAACGGCCATAGAAAGGAAGTCACTGCGGTCGCCTGGGTACATCAGAATGGGCAGTTGGTTACCGTGGCGGACGACTACTCGGCGAGATGCTGGTACGAGGATGATCCGGAGAAGGCGAGGGCGTTGAGGAAGAACACGGAACGAGACGGAAAGAGGAGTCAGAGCGGATGGGCGACTGTTCGCGAAGGGTATGATGATGATGACGACGACGACGAGTGAATCAGTCGACGGTCGAAGGAGGATAAAGGGGCAGCCGAGAAGAAGTATTCTCCGTATCGATCTGCATCTGTGTTGGAGTCTGCAAAAAGTTGGCGTGTTTTTGCTCAAGCCATGAAATGAAAGCGTAAGCGTGTGGCTCTCTTTGGGACAACGAGGCAGGGAGAAAAGTCTGGGATAGAGATGATTTGTCTCTTTGGGAAATCCAGTCATGGTTGGTCGGTCGGATGGTCGATCGATCACATAATTACACCATCAATCAATCAACAAATCAACAAATCAACAAATCAATTTATTCCTCAATTACTCGATTATTCGATCATTCGATCGCTCAATGAACGACGCGTGTCGTGTATAAGCCAAGTCCCTGCCTACATAGGTACATATCACCGAGTACTTAGATATATACTTGTCCTTGTACCGACCGAGTCGTTGTCCTTGTCTTTGCAATGTATGTATATACTCAGGTATAGATAGATGTATGTGGATAGCTAGCCTCGGGTGAGATATTACAAGCTACGACTCCCTAGCTTGTCTCGGTGCTGGGTGCCATCCTTTGAGAGAACCGGATAAGTCTACGTATATTTACGTGAACATTTGGGCAAGCGGCCGAGAGGTAAACAGGCAGACAGAGTCAAATCGAGACCAGTTCGAATTCCATGTCAGATAGCTCGAGCACACACTCCAATAGTCTGAGCCCTCAGGCCACACTCTCTGATGGCCAAAGTAATGCGCCTTGTCCACTGTCTCAACAAGGCCCGCCTGCAGAAAAAGACCCGTACCATACCAGCTCGCGTAGAAATACAATTGCTTTTGTAAAGGGGTCGATGAATCCAAAACACAAAATGCCATACCCAATCGTCATAACTCATTAGCTTGTGTCTATCACTTTTGTCCTTCAACTGTAGCCCGGTTCTTTGGTCGCGATTCTTTCCAGAGAGACGCCCATCAATGAGACAACCTGATCAAAGCCGCCTCACCGCACCACCACAGGTACATTGCCTTATCAGCCTCTTCAGTTCGGCGTTTTCCTGAAGGAGCTTATAATTCTCTTCCTCCACCCGTACCAATTGGGCCTTGTAATGCTCCACGGTTTCGAGGTTGCGCGCCTGCGAAGAAATAGACATGTGAGCTCCATCGCCAGCAGTGGCTGCCACGACGTTACCTGTGGCTGTGGCGAGAGCAGGAGATGTACCAATGCGTCTCTTGCTTGACATTAAAACAGCAGGAGCATTGGGACCCGGACTGGAGCTTGCAGTGGAACGGTTCGTGGCACTGACACTAGACCCTGAGGTGGGCGGCCTCTTAACGGAGCCGAAAGACACACCCGAAGACGATGTAAGGGGTCTGTTCTCATCTGTTTTAGGCTGGACATTGTTCACCTGTTCAGGATTTTGTTCAGACAAGATACTTGATAGACCAGGCCTGGTGGTCTTCTGACGCCGACTCAGACTGCGTCCTAGGCTGGGAAAAAGGCGAGGCCCTTCTCTTTCCCTGACACTACCAGTCAACGCTGGGGCTTCTCTGACCGTTCCATTGGATCGCGTCAGACCGGAGAGCAATTTGGTTGGGGAGAGTCCTTTTTTCTTTGCTTCGTGCTCGATGCGTAGAGAGTCCAAAATGGTTGATGCTGCAGGTTCCATCTCGCAAATCTCAGCAATAATTTTTCGGGCTTTCTCTAGGGTTCGTATGGCCGCGGTAAAATTTGAAGGCACATGGGGAAGCATAGTGTCGATGTATAGGCCATATCTTGAGATACGCTGAGCCGGCTCCATAAGCAAGGACGGGGCCTTTTGGATTGAAGTGGTACCTTCCCTCAGAAATTGGTCGAGATTCGAGGAGACTTGAGAATGCAGGTCCAGGTATTGCCGGTAGGGCATGGGGAATTTAGGGAAGTGGTTCAATAGCACTTTGGCAAAACTGTAGATACCCATAGGGTCTTTGGCGTTGGCGATGAGCTGCGGATTCCCTTGTGCAGAATCCAAAAAAGTCAAAGCAGCATCTTCGGAACAGTGAAGCGCCGTCTCGATATCATCCAGGAAAGCCAGATTCAAGTCCTTGATCTGGTCCAACAGAGAGGGAAACTGAATCATGGCATTCACGGCCTTTTGATTGCGCGAGCTCGAGAATTTGGAGCTCAGGGACTTTGGTGTACGGCCCTGATTCGTGACGAGTTCGATCAAATCTTGGAGACGGGTGATGTACCTGTCTTCGGTGTCCACAAACTCGCACATCTTAAACCGCAACGACTCTAGTTGCTGCACCGAGTGCTTTGGGTCAATTGTCGAGCTCGCCTTACGCGGTGCTTGCGTAGATATGGATGGAGAGCGTTTTGCGTGGCCACTGGCTATCCTCTTGGATGGGGTGAAGGCGTGGTTCACGCGACCAACGTTATGACTACCGGCCTCGGGAGGCAGGAAAGATGGCCGGGTCTTTCTGATCGATGCTAAAGGTCTGGTGGGTGTCTGGGGACTTGCAGGTCTTTCCTTGGAAAATGGTCGAAGTGCCTCAACTATCTCCTCGGTGTTGATGACTCTGCACATTCGACACGTAACCTGAGCAGCATGTGTCTGGCCCCATTTCAGCGCTATCCCATGATGCACGTTCTCTTCAGCGATGGCATTTTTGACCTCAGTCGGCACTTCAGAGAAGTACCGACAAAGCGCAAAGGCAATCCCGCGGGATACATCATCTCTTTGTTTGTCTTCTGGTAGCTTGTGGACCGCAGAGTAGTAACTGCTATTCGGGGCGACTGAGAATGCCCCATAACTCTTGAACCCGGCTGCTGAGAGGATGGTGGTTCGAATACGCGAGGTCGATGCCAGAGAGCCCACCGCTTGCACGGGGTAGTAGAAGACGAGAATTCGAGGCAGGTAGGGAGGGTCTTCGGCGTAGTAGATGGTGGGTGCTTCCCCGGGACTGAGAATGGCTGACAGGGCAGCTAGGTTGCCCGACTTCGACATGACGGCTGACTTGGACTCGGAGGAGATGGAAAGGAGGAGATGCGGCGGGTCGGTCAAGCAAAGGGATGGGAAAAGGCACGGGCGACCATTATCGAAACCGAGGGCGACATAGAGAGAACGAGAATCAGACAAACTGATACACAAAAAAGACTAGGTTTATGGCTATCATGCGAGTATCAACGCGTTGGGAAGTCAATTGCACGTGTGTGTATATGGAGAGTGGGATATGAACGACTTCAATGCAATCCGGGGAGCTCAGCGCGAAGCAGTGGAGAGCGCGCCTGCCAGAATATTATTTTCTTACTGTATTTGGAATAGTCGTGCCGTTGGAGAGTTTAACGGTGATTTATTCTTCCATCCCGTTGAAGCCAGGTTTCACGTGAGCCACGGACAATCCCGCCATCTGCAAACGGCTCTAGATAGTCCGAGTAGCCGTGTAATGACTGATGACCCGGAGCATTCGGAGCGAAAATGATGCCGCTTTATTATTACTACGTATAGTAGCCACTGCCAGTCACCTATAGCTTATCGTGGTAGTAGTTAACTGCCTGATAACCCTAACTCTTTGATTACGGAATATAGCACAAATGACACGACCGGCTCAACTCACCTGGCTTACTCTGTTCCGAACTATTTTGTCTGGCTTACAGGTGCCTGTGGGTACCTGGGGAGTGTTTCAATAATACCCAAGTACGCTACAGCCATTCACGTTTTCGCATAAACCCGGACGCAGCCTTCAATACCAAGTACCCCAAGTATCTAGCTCGCTAGTATCTGCACTACTACGTCTACGAGTTCCCAATGTAGTTTAGTCTCTATGGTCACGGGCCGCTGCCCCTCCTTCATTCTCGCCCCTCCTCTTCCTCCTCCTTCCATCCAGCCTTAAGCCACACATGATGGGGGGAAGCCTTTTCCCACTTATTTCCGATCCATAATCGTCACCACCAAAAGGGCCCCTGCGAAGAGTGGATGTAGACAACTGATTTTTCATATGCCACTCGGGTTTCGGATTCATCTCGTGTCGTCATTGTCAGCACTGCCGGACGCCCTCCACCTTGTGGCTCCTTCTGGACTGAAAGCGGTTCGCCTGGAGACTGGCTGTGCTTCTCGAATTACCTACCGTTCTGCCTCGTTCCTGATCGTGAAATCTCTGCGGTTAGCTAGCCCCCGCTCAAAAGTCTTGGAAAGTGGCATGTGTCTGTTGACGGATCATGCGTGTTCCTCGCATCCACAACGTCAAAGGCTGGAATGCTCGTCACCATTCCGCCGCGTTTCCGCACTCCACAGCCACTCAGGGACGTCTTCTTACAGGTTTACAGGCTGGAGAACAGCCTCAGCCGTTCAGTGGAGTAAATTTAGACCTGCTGCTATTGGTAACTTCACGACTTGCCCTGGCTGGCCAATGGTCCAACCATTCCCGGGGTAAAAGTGGAACGTTTGTTCCAGCATATGTTGAGTTGTTATGTCCCGTGGATTCAAAGGTCATGATTCTCCTTTTCCATCTCTACCTAGGTACCTCCCCTGCTGTGTTATAACTTGGACATTTCCCCCTGTCAGATACTATCTGTGACCCGTCCTCGATCACCCGATTTTCCCCAACCTCGTGACCATGGCCACCCATACTTCTGCTGGTGTGCCAATTCTCGACATCAGGAGCGACAAGTCGGACCATTCCCTGGTCGAATATCTCAAGCGGTCTCTCAATGCTCCCGAGGGACAGTCGCGCATGTTTCCAACCTTGCTACTCTATGACGGTACAGAGGTTCTTGTTGTTTGAGGCACACACTAAACCATTGTAGAACTGGGTCTAAAGCTGTTTGAGGACATCACCTATTTGGATGAATACTACCTCACCAACGCCGAGATTGACACTCTCACAAGACATGCCAGCAAGATTGTCGAGCGAATTCCCGACGGCGCCCGTCTCGTTGAGTTGGGCAGCGGGTGAGTTACCCTACATACGAGATATATCGTGTTCAGGCTGACGTGGGATGGCCGATAGGAACCTCCGCAAGGTGAACATCCTCCTCAAAGCATTCGAGGAGGCCAAGAAAAAGGTCGAGTACTATGCTCTGGATCTATCTCTGTCCGAGCTCAAGCGGACCTTTGCCCAACTGGACATCAATGCATTTCATCATGTCACTTTCCGGGCATTGCATGGTACCTATGACGATGCCCTTGCGTGGCTGAAGACATCAGCGACAGATGTTAGGACGACCTGTGTTATGACCATGGGGTCTTCCCTGGGCAACTTCACCCGAGAGGAAGCAGCTCAGTTCCTCAGTTCGTTCAAGAAAGTGTTGTCGGCTTCGGATTTTGTCATCGTGGGACTCGACGCGTGCCAGCAGCCTGACCGCGTCTTCCATGCCTATAATGACTCGTTGCATGTCACTGAACGCTTTTACCGCAACGGTCTCACTCACGCCAATAACATCCTGGGCTATGAGGCTTTCCGTCAGGATGAGTGGTCAATTGAAGGCATGTATGATGAGAACCAGAGGAAACACCAGGCTTCGTATGTGGCCTTGAAGACGATCAAAAACAAGGACTTTTTCTTTGAGAAGGGTGAGAAGATTCATTTGGAGGACGCATTCAAGTACTCCGAAGCGGACCGTGATGCTCTGTGGCATATCGCGGGCCTCATTCCTCAGATGTCTTACAGCAATAAGACCAACGACTATTGTAAGTTTGTGGGTGGTGAACTGACTTTCATACTGACAGCACTACGCAGTTATTCATCTCTTGTCACCGGCCACCATCAATTTCCCAAGCAAGCCGGCCGAGTTTGCAGCGAGCCCAGTGCCTTCCCTCGACGACTGGCGACAGCTTTGGGCGGCTTGGGATATAGTGACCAGGTCCATGGTCCCGAGGGACGAGCTGCTCAACAAACCTATCAAACTCCGAAATGACTTGATCTTCTATCTGGGCCATATCCCTACATTCGCAGGTATGTGGATTCCTATTTTGCTCCGGCTTAATCTGACCGCCGTCTAGACATCCACTATATGAAGGCTACCAAGGCAAAGCCGACAGATCCGGCTTATTACATGTCCATATTTGAGCGAGGAATCGATCCAGGTAGGTCCTCGACCAGCCAGTTTTCCAGGATGCGCTGCTGAAGCTGCCTCAGATGTGGACAATCCCGAGGTGTGTCACGATCATAGTGAGATCCCAGACTCGTGGCCTCCATTAGAGGAGATCTTGAACTATTCGCAACGTGTTCGAGATCGTATCGTCGACAGCATTCACTCTGGCCGAGCTTACACCGACCGCAAGCTCAGCCGTGGCCTATGGCTTGCTTATGAGCATGAAGCGATGCATTTGGAAACCTTCCTTTACATGCTGCTTCAGAGTGAGCGCGTTCTGCCACCTCCAGGACAGGATTTACCTGACTTCGAAGCCATCGCTGCTGAAGCTCGCACGAATCGTACTTCAAACAAGTGGCACCGCATTCCTGCGAGCAAGGTTACAATTGGATTGGACGATGCAGAAAACGACTCCGGCCCTGAGAGGTACTTCGGCTGGGATAACGAGAGACCATCGCGCACAGTGGCTGTCCACGAATTCGAGGCCCAAAGTCGCCCGATTAGCAATGGCGAATATGCTCGTTTCTTGGAAACCACTCACAAGGATTCTCTCCCTGCCTCGTGGGCAGCCTCCAAGGCAGATACGGATCTCAATGGAACCCACGGCACGAACGGTGTGAACGGCCATAGCTCGGAGTTGCAGATGGCCAGTCCCTCGTTCGTCGAAGGCAAGGCTATCCGAACCGTCTACGGCCTTGTTCCTCTCAAATACGCCCTGGATTGGCCTGTGATGGCTTCGTACGACGAGTTGGCGGCCTACGCGGAATGGTCTGATGGACGCATTCCCACCATGGAAGAAGCCCGAAGCCTTTACCAGTACGTTGAGAACCAGGACAGCGTCTTGCAGAAGGTGACCAGCAAGTTGATTTCAGCCGTGAACGGGTGAGTCTGCGTGATAATGCACTGCGGATACAGAGCTGACCATGACAGTCATCTCTCAAATGATGGTGTTGAAGAGACGCCTCCAACAGGCCATCAATCGAATGGTGTCGCCAATGGGAGTGCAAATGGTAGGCCCTTGAACCCCAATGAACTCTTCGTCGAACTGGCCGATCGCAACGTTGCCTTCCGCCACTGGCATCCAACGCCTGTGACTGGCAACGGCGACCGTCTACGTGGACAGAGTGATCTCGGGGGCCTGTGGGAATGGACCAGCACACCATTGGCGCCGCACGAAGGATTCAAAGCCATGGATCTGTATCCCGGGTACACGGCTGATTTCTTCGATGGCAAGCATAATGTTTGTCTTGGAGGCAGCTGGGCGACTGTACCGCGAATTGCATTGAAGAAGACCTTTGTCAACTGGTACCAGAGGAACTATCCATATGTTTGGTGCACGGCCAGACTTGTCAGGGATACAGTCGTCTGAATTGCGATGAAATGTGGACTGGAATGCAGCCGCCCGATGTTTCGGTTTGCTTGGACGGCTCCTTTTATGACCCCTTGCAAGTTCCTTACTCTGGCCTTTTGGCGGGAGATGTCTCTGGAATTGTCTGGCTTCTCTCCAGGACTCTGCAAATACCAGAGATGGCTCCTTCCTCTTGGTTGGTGGCTATAGCAAGTGTTTGATATCTTTAGGTAACGGCCCTGTGTGGTCAAACTCACTCATTCTGCTCGGTGCGAGATTGGACAAGCCAACACAAACCTCTCTGCTCATCCTTTCCTCCTGCTCTTCTTCCTATTTTCCAGCTGCTTGTGTTTCTTTGTTCCTCTCCATGTTTGTCTTCTTTATCTCCTCGCAGCCTCCTCTCGTCACTGTCCTCCTTTGCCGGGACCATACAGCTGACCATCTCCACCGAGTTGCAGTTGCCCGAAATGCCAATAACGACGTCGATCTCATATGCCGTACCTCCATCCATCCATCGATCAGGTCGATTGCTCGCAAAATTCAGCGTCATACCATGTTCCTTTGTTCTGGGGAAGTGGCAGAGTCATTATGCATCACGCAGACACCGCGTGTCTGTCGATGTCTTTGTCTAACATCCACTCTGATCCAGACACTTCCTCCTTTACAAATATCCTCCTTAAGCCGTTCAAATCCGATCGCCTCTCACTCCCTGAGCGCTCCGAACATTCACTGCTTGGTGCTGCCGGACAGGCATACCGATCTTCACCTGATCCGCTTTGTTCCTCCTGCGTTCGCTGCCTCACCGCGTTCCCTTTACCAACTTGCACCACGAACTTTTCAGAAGATCTCTGCCCACACGCGACCTGCAATACAATCAAACATATTGGTGCCCATTGCTCTGTCTGTGAAATACAGCAATCACACAGCTGAAGCACAGAAGTCGATAACCCTTGGAGTAGCAACAGCAGAGCGGACTCTGACCATGGATCCAGCTGCGCCAAACAGCCCATTCAAATGGGAGGCCGCCTCTGGGCTCGGTAAGCAAATGACCTTGGGATATTACCCCTTGTTTCACAAGCCTTGCCACGACGTGGCGATGTAAGCGGAGAGCACAAGCTAACCCATGTCACATGTCCGCGCCTATAGAGCACAGCTGTTACCTCTGTTCCACGAAGATGAGCAACCCAAAGGCGCGTCAAACATGCTATGGCATCCACAGTATCCCTTGCTTTCGCTACCATCAGACCATGCACGCCATCGGCACAAGCCACAACTGCTTCTCCTGCATACAAGCCGATGAGCTGCATGAGAACAGGCACAGGAAGGTGAGTGACGGAAGCAACTCATAACATAGACCTTTCCTCTGCAGGACATCACACAAAGGTGATGGTGGTGACTGCGGTGAGGACAACTGGCATGCCACAGAAGGAATTGAGCCCGACCAGCTGACGTTTGTGCTTTGCTGTACAATAAAGATTGCAGAGCTTCTCGCAGAGTACAGAATCGCAAATGGCAGAGACACAGCCAAACCAAGAACCCTGCTGGAAGACCTGCCAGTGAATGTCCCTTTGATCCAGCAAGCTATCCAGCAACTCGATGTTGGCAATGATGACTTCGAAGTCGGGGAAGAAACCGACCAGGATGACGAAGCTGAGACCGTGACCGACACCACGACCAGCACGGCTGACGAGAATGACCAACAGCACATGCCTCCTACAAGATTGACCAAGGCTGAAGCTCGAGCGCTTAAAAAGGCCGCCAAAACAGCAAAGTCGCAATCCAAGGCAGCTAAGAATCAACAGAAACATGTCATCGGCGTCCGCACCGCAGATGTGTCATTTGTTGCTGAGGTCTTGCACGGCAACAATGCAGGAGCACGACCAGGAGCACAACCAAGAGCGACACATCCATTGGCGAGCGACAAGACCATCGAAGAGGTAATTGCAAGAAACATGGGGTTTATGTCGAGCATTCAGGAACACAAGAAGACGCTGCTGTCCAGCATTGCGCAGAGGAGAAAAAGTGAACGTGAAAGGCGCAAGAGCTCGATCGCTGGCATATCCTACCACGGCGTCGGCGGAAAAAAGAGGAGATTCAGCGAAGGCCTGCACGACTGTGATGCCGAGGACGATGAGATGGAGGACTTGCTCGTTGCTGTCTTGGTGAAGCTTGGGATTGATGGAGGCCATGCTCGATCGACTAGTTGCACCGCGAACACTGCAGGTCCCACCACCAATAGTGTCGGTGTGAAGAAGAATGGTGTCGGAGGAGGAATCAACAAAGCCCCTGCCTCTTCTCCGCAGCAAACTTCCTCTATCGTCGCGGCTCTCAAGGCTCTGGTGAAAGATGATCTGGAAAGGTTTGAAAACGAGCAACGGGAGACGTGTGTTCGCGCAGGTGGGTTCTGGAGATACGTTGGACGGCCAGTGTTTGAGCGGATGACCAAGATTGCACGAGAAGTGGATTGGAAGACGGGGGTGAAGCTGAAGGACATCAACAACAAGGAAAGGGACGGTTGAGAACAGGCAGAGAGATGCAAATATGCCGAGACAGAGTTCGTCGGTGGACAGGTGGAGATATTTAGCGCAGAGGGAGCTGTGATTGAGTGAGTGGAACGGACGCGGATCTGAGGTGACTAGGACAACATGTTGCAAACTGACGGAGGAGGGAGTTGGAGACGTGTTTGATTAGCTATTGCTTTCTTCTCTTGATGTTCTTCATGCTTGCACGATTCTAATGGCCCGGGAAGTCCTGGAAGTCAGGCGCGGCTACCAGACGGTGCGCAAAAAGTTTTGGATAAAAGGCAAACAACATTTCGTGCGATCAAGATATGGCCATGATGAGGCTTCATCGTCTTGTTCGCGCCATTCTGAGCTCTCCATACATGGATGATCCTATTCTCTTCCATTGCAGCGGCTGCTTCTATCCTGGTCGATACATGGGGAGGATATAAAGTCATCCATATCCATTCGTGAAGCGGTGGCCTGGTCTAGGCTGGTACATACGACGTAACACGCCCCGGAATGTCTGTCTTGTGGGCTGGCTCTGTCTCTGGGCGTGTGGAAGTGATCATTTTGGCTGTGGCTCTCTCTGGGCACAGTAATTCTAGGCCGAGGCGAGGCATCTGATCGCCTGAGTAATCCCTGGGTTGGTTGTATAGAGCGCAGATTGGCCGAGAGAGACATGCCCGGCGCCCAGTGCCCAGTCGAGAGCAACATTGAGTACCACCACCGTTGCGGCTTGCTGCTATCGCCTCAAGAATACCGGACGGTACGTTCTGCCCATATTTTGTCCATCGTTGTTGTTGGCATTAGATGGGCTGGTGCAAAATAGCCGAGCCACTGATCCGTCGACTTTTCCAGCTCTTCCCATCTATTCAACTCGCCGAGCCGACGGGCTATCTGTCAAAGATCTCGATTCAACAGATGCGACACCCTTCCTCATCCACCTTCTTTATCCACGACTCTCTGACTCTGTTCCTCGAATCCCAAAATCCTCCCCACCCAACCCCGTGGCTTGGGCACGGGACATTCTCTCGCCGACCTGGCCTCCTTCTCCAACAGCTCCGCCTCGGCTTGCAGCTCTCGAAACAAGGCTGCTTCTTCGTCTAGGTTCTTGGACGCGGCCAGACCCTTTTGGAGAGCTTGCGGGCTTTTGCGAGGCGGTTGTTGTGGCTGTTGCTGTTGTTGTCCTTCCTGCCCGATCCGTGAAGCACGCTGATCTGGCGAGACCTTGCTGGGAGGTAGATTGTCGGTTGGTCTGACCTGTCGTCGTCGCGGGACAGGGTTCCCGTCTTCATCCAGTTCTATCCGTGCTGAGTCCGTCGCGTACCCCGTCCGCGGACGAGGGCAGGGGAAGACGTGCGGGATGCCCACCACGATGAACGATGCGAGCAGCGTCCCCGCGAAAAGAGTCGAGGTTGCCGTCGAACGCGGGTGTAAATGCGGTGGCATTTTTATAGGTCCTGTGTGCTAGGTTCTCTTTTTTCTTTCCCCTCCTCTTCTCGTCTCTCAATGGAAGAGGTTTCTGCCCTGCTCGATGGTGCACGGGAGGAGCAGTGGTGTGGTGTGACTTTTCATTGACTGGTCGCCATGGATGAATGTGGTACGCAGGACTGGAAAAGGAGAGGGAGAGTGGGAGGATATGTCAAGGACCAACTTATGTAGGTCTCCAAAGGAATTGGGGGGGAGTGATGGACCGAGAAGCTGGAGTTTTACTTTTCTGCACATTAAATTCATGTATTCAGAGCTTCGACTTTCACAAGCTCTCTGGTTCGCTGGCTCGCTGGTTCGCGGATGCGCTGCGGAGATCATGTCAATGTTCGAATGCTCCGCTGTACTCACCCAAGTCTCTGCCGAGGATCTCCCGAGTCGATCGCCGTTTTTTGCATAGTAAAAGTCCCATGTTGGGCAGGCGTCGCAGTTTTGTGACCGCCACAAGATTCCCTCACAGCACGCGACACCACGATCAGCACATCGAAAGCAACAAGTCCTTGAACCTCTCTGTCTCTCCCGCTCGCAGAATCTGACCATCCGACGGAGATTTGACACCCGGAGACGCGCTGCCTAACTCGGTCGATATCGTCGACTCATCCCACTATCTACGCTCATCTTTGACGCCATCCCTACCGCCACCCGCATTCGAGACCCAAAAAGTTATACACATCCTACACCCATGTGCCTCAACGCTGCCCGATTCTCATCCTCTGCGCCGCGGTGATGAGCGACCTCGACAAGTAAGTGCGACCTGCTGTAGCGGCCTTTCTCACACCTTTTGGAAGAAGCATACACTGACGCACAAGTCTATCTAGAGCGATTGCGCAATTGCGCGCGTGTCGTCCGATCCCCGAACCTCAAGTCCGCGAACTCTGCTACAAGGCGCGCGAACTGCTCATCGAAGAAGGCAATGTCGTCTGCGTCGATGCCCCCGTCACCATCTGCGGCGACATCCACGGCCAGTTCCACGACCTGATGGAACTCTTCCGCGTCGGCGGCGACGTCCCGGACACGAACTACCTATTCATGGGCGACTTTGTGGATCGGGGCTTCTACAGTTTGGAGAGCTTCCTGTTGCTTCTGTGTTTGAAGGTCAGATATCCGGACCGCATCACCCTTATTAGAGGCAACCACGAGTCGAGGCAGATCACCACCGTATATGGGTTTTACGATGAATGTATCAGGAAATACGGAAGTGCGAATGTCTGGCGGTATTGTTGCGAAGTCTTTGACTATCTGGCACTGGGGGCGTTGATCTTGGGAGCAACCACCGACGTCCCGCCTCCGACAGGCGGGGCAATGGTTTCCTCGATGAACGACAGCAGTACGCAATCCACACTTCCTTCGGAAGATGAAGACCTCGAATCCGAGGTCCTCAATGCCAATGGAGAAATCATCTCCAAGACTCTCCGTCGTCAGTTCGCTGGCCTCTCAATGAACTCACAACAGTCACATGCCTTCTCTGATGGAAGTCGAATATCTCCCGCGCCGGACGTCGACCTCCCGTCATCTCTCGACGCCCCTCAATCCTCACCGAGTCAGCCGCCTCCCTCGCTCTTCCAGCCCCCCACATCTTCGACTGGCGCAGTTCTCTGCGTCCACGGTGGCTTGTCTCCGCTTGTCGAAACCGTAGACAAAATCCGTCTCATCGACCGCAAACAAGAAGTGCCCCACGAAGGCGCAATGTGTGACCTTCTGTGGTCTGATCCGGATGAGATCGAGGGCTGGGGACTCAGTCCACGAGGCGCGGGATTTCTCTTTGGCGCAGACATCGTGAGACACTTCAACCACGCCAACGACCTGTCCTTGATTGCGCGGGCGCATCAATTGGTCATGGAAGGGTACAAGGAGATGTTTGACAAGACAATCGTGACGGTCTGGAGCGCCCCTAATTACTGCTATCGGTGCGGCAACGTGGCCGCGATCCTCGAGCTGGGCGAGGACGGGTCCAACGGCGGCTGCATACAGAGGGCGAACGGCGACCAAGGCCGCAGAGAACCTGTGGGAGGCGATGGCAGTGGCGGTGGAGCCGGCGTGCTCTGGAACCTCGCCACGCCGGGGAGGAGATATAGAGTCTTTGAGGCCGCACCGCAAGGCACGAGAGGCATGCCTGCGAAGAAGCCGGTTGGGGAATATTTCTTGTAACACCACCACTTTCTCGCGTGCGAGTAATCATGACAAGGCTTTTTTCTTTGATTCCAGGCTCTATATCTGTGGCTGTGACTGTGACTGCGACTGACAGCGACAGCGACAGCGGTAGCGACAATCGAGGGAAAGGAGAGGAATGTATGAATGAGTGGTCATCACCATCAACGCGTTTTGGACAGTGTCCTGCGTCAGACGCAAACACGCTGGTACTATTCTTAGCAGGGCCTACCTACGAGGTACTTTGCTTGTTTGTATACCTCACTGCTCACTGCTCTGTTTGTCTGCATTCGCCCGCACTCGCTACACTCACTGTCTGCCACCCGTCTGTTTACCTCGAGCTGAAAAAGAGAACCCAAAGCCCCTTTTCTGGTCTCTCCTCGCCCTCGTACTGGTACTGGTACTGGTACTCGTGTATCACGACCCCTGCCCCATGTACGTCTATCAGCCCGAATCGTCTACTCTACTCTACTCGGATCAAAGGTAAAAAGGTATAGACAGATGACAGAGGGAGAGGGGAGATGAGAAACGAGGTATTCTGAGGAACTATTATGTATATCCAGGCGGCCCGGCCACATGCCAGATTAAGTTGTCTATCAAAGATCTCCATCGTATGCCAGGCCATGTCTAGTATGATTAAATACATGGAGAAGAATGAACAGGTCTTGTCCAAATCAATTGGGGGTATCATCGTCGTTGTCATCATCTCTTGCCTTTCTTGCCACTGGCATTTGCCCTGCTCTCCTCAATAACCCTCTCCAGCATCACCCTCGCCTCCTTTTCCCTCTTCTTGAAACCACCCGAGAAGGTCGGGTGCAGGATATTCGCCGAGTTGGCATGGTCCTCTGCAAATTCTGGACCACTCCACCCTTTTTGCTGGCACAACGCAACAGCTTCTTCGAGCAGCCCCTGGCCCACACCTTTCCGTCTATACAGGCGCTTGACTGTCCATGCACGGATATATCCAGTAATGGGCGCATTCTTGCGCGACTTGCCGGAAGAACCAGGAGCATCGCGCACACCGCGAACGACAATCGTACCAATGATGTCGTCGCCAAACCTAGTCAGGAGGATTTCGTCCTCGGAACCCACGATACCCTTCTCCGAATTATCACGGCCTTCATTCAGCCATTTCCAGGTCCCTACACGCTCGGCCTCAAAAATGTAGCCGCTTGTGAGCCAGCGCACGGTGATCAGAACAGCCATGAGAGTGCCAGCCGACGTCGTGCCAATAATTACCCAATCTGAGGAAGCGCCTTTATAAAGATGTTGATAGGCAAGACCGAGGAGAAGGACGAGCAGGGCGAGAGTCAAAGGATGGAAAATGATGGCAGAAGAGGCGAGCTGCCGTTGTTGAGCAACAGAGTCGGCGATCAAGT